GAAACAATATGCAAACAACATACTTTGAAAATCCTACAGATTATTAATAATGTCATGATCATATCAATGGAATTTGTATTACACATTCTCCAGGTTTGCAAAGTTCAGGGGGAGTAATTTCCCAAATCTATAACCTGTTAACAATCATGAGACTGCATATATTGTACTCTTTTTCCCTTCATGAGTTTTTCCTTAATGGTTTCTCATAAAAGGTTTTTAATGAGACAATAGAAGCACAAGTGTACATATATGCCATATCATTTCTCCTTATATTTTTCCCACTGGGTTTTAAAGGAGTTTTCAATGGTATATATAATCGCACTCTTTTTCCTTATGAGTTTTCTCTCAAAGTTTCTCATAATGATTTTTAATGAGGCTATATCTTCTCAAAGATCATATGGCATACTTTCTATTTTACCTATAGGGTTTTTTAAAGGAGGTACTCAAGACATATTTATTGGTCTCTAAACTCACTTATGAGTTTTATCCTTCTCCGAAGGTTTTTCTCATATGGGTTATCAAGAGACATAATCATTATATGTTGCCTCATTTTCTCCTTATTTTTCCCATTGGGTTTAAAGGAGTTTTAGCAACATATCAAATACAATTCTCCTCATATTTTTCCCACAGGGTTTTGGGAGGAGCCTTTTCCAAGATGAAGATGATGAACGTTCAAGGCAAATACATACTAGGAGGAGTCTTTATCAAGATGATGTATATTCACAAAGACAAGCATTGATTAGGAGGAGTGTTAGGAATTAATTAATTAATTAGATTAATTAATTGTAAATCCATGCTATGTCGGTGGCCATGTTTTTGGCAACCACCTCCTTTGTAACTGCCTTGTAATGAGGGTATAAATACCCCAATCTTCAATCAATGAAAGAACTGCTCAATCCATTCGTTCCTCTCTCTTTTTCCTCTACAGATTCTACTCGAGAATCAGCAAAAAGTAATTACATATGGCAGGACCAACTAATAAAAGCCGGATCGGATTTTGAAGAGTTTTAGCCGTGCTTTTACAAAGGGGGTGGACTTATAATAAACGGGAAAAGCCACGCTGTCATTTCTGCAGCAAACATCTCGTCTCAATCCCCGCGGATAAATACGCCCGCGTACAACTCACCTTCCCGTTCCCCTGTTAAACCCCACCGCACCGCACCGCACCTATCCCGCACCGTAGCAACAGAAAGAAAAAGATCTCCTCCTCCGCCGCCGCCGCCGCAATGCAGCGCCTCTCCATCGGATCGCCGGGCTCGAGGCCCAGCCTGGATGCCGCCCCCGCCGCGGCCGCAGACGAGGCGGACGAGAAGGCGACGGGGAAGGCGGCCAGGGCGGCCGCGCCGGACAAGTCCATCCACCTCGTCCCCCTCCTCACGCTCCTCTGCCTCCTCGTCCTCTTCCTCTTCTCCCACGACCCGGCCAGTTCCCGCGCCATCGCCGGTAAGTAGCCAGCCAAACCTTCGCTCCACTCCCTTTCCCTCGCCGGCACTGCTCCTAACGCCGCTCGCCCGTCCGTGCAGATTCGCCGCCCGTCCTGGCCGTCACCGCCCGCTCCCTCGAGGCCACAGGTAGGCGATAAGACTCGCGACGAACACCCTGCGTCCCGTTCCCCCATCTCTTGCCTCGTTTGATTTTCTCTCTCTCTCTCTCTCCTTTGTTCGTTCCAGCAGCGGACACGACGCCGTCGGTGGCGCGGGGCGGCGCGCACCAGCGGCTGAAGGCGGACCCGACGCCGCGCCGCGGGCGAAGGCTGGGAGCGCCGCGGCGGTGACGGCGACGGCGACGGCGACGGCGACGGCGACGGCGCGGAATTGGGGAACGGGAAGGCTAAGGCTGGCCCACGTCCGCGCAAGCAGCTAGCCGTTGGAACGTACGACGCGTCCTCAGCGCACGTCTCTTTCTTCCCTCCACCCCCGTGCTGCGTCGTTGGTGGAACTTGAATGGCCGCGAGCGTTCGTCTTCCTGTGGCCTCTAGAAATTGGGATTAGATTACCAGCCGCCCGTCGCAATCGTCAATCACCATGTGTTCATACCCCATCGTCATTCTTTTCCCCCTTCGGTTGCTCACCTGCTATTGATTCTGTAATTCTTTTTCCGTAATTGGTAGTACTGATGAGGAAATTGATTGATAGAATTCTGGTTCAGGTGCGTCGGATTGTCCATCGTCTTTGAACTGGTTTCTGTTTCTGCCTTTTGGGTTGAATGAATGGGCTGGTTCCAGCTTTCGGGGCCAAGCTGCCGCAGGGGATCACGAGAAAATTTATTGCTCGGCAGCGGTAAAGTGGACAGACAGGCCACAACATACTGGGCGCTGGTACATTCACGTTGCTGCTGCTAGTGCAACTAGGCCTGGCTGGCTTGGCTTGGCTTGGACTGGGTCCACTGGAAGCCTCAGGTGTAACGACTATATATGTCCAAGCTGGAGCCAATGCCCTCCATCTCTCACTTTTACAAGATTCAGAGAGACATTTACAGAATGCAAGTAATTAACCTTGAAAATGATCTTTCTATAAGTATGTGCATCTTTCTATAAGTATAAGCTCTGCCACCGTGGGTATGCGATATGCCCGATCACATTTGCAAACAGATTTACCATCACGGATCGAGGGTGGTAGGCTCGCAGCGGGGCAGGCTAGCAGACAATAGCATAGTGCAAATGTAGCGTTAATTCTAGACGAGTGATGAGCAAATTTTGGACTAATGGATGACTTTGGCGGGACAAAGCGGGATGCCGCTTGCACCCCTACACGCAGGGCAAACTGCATCTCCATGGACACTAGCACAAAGCTTCGTATCTGAAACAAAAGCAAGCAAGAAAATGAAAAAAGAATACGGCATGGCAACAGCAGGAGATCCATATACAAGTGCTATCAGCAGCGCACCCCATTCCCCCGGCAAGTCACATCCACCGACAAGGAGCTTTAAACACACAACACAAATGCTGGCTGCCGCTAGCTAGCGCAGCTAAACAACAACTTACAAATGGTGAATATATGCATTATTAGTTCTTCAAACAAACATTTGTACCTGCATGGTAAACAAACAGAGCACGCATAACCTAACACAAATGACCACGAAAATGTGAAAACTGGGGAAGGCACCTAAGAATCTAAACAATCCCGCAGAAGGGATCTAAGACACAGGTTTCACACAGATCAATAAAACAAACATGAACATTTACTGTATCTTACTGAATACATAATGATTCTATGGTTTATTTATAGCCAATCATTTTAGATACGGGCTGGATTTTCTCCAAGAGAAAAGTTCACATTAGAAAGCAGCAACTGAAGTATCGTTTGAACTAATTACACCCTTAATCACTGTCTTTAACTGGAATGAGCAAAATACGACTTATCTATGTTTTAGTGCGGCCTGCTATTATCTTCAGTTGCCAAGCACTTTCAAACTAATGTTTACTCATGATGACAACCACATTCGCAAAGGCACCTTCAGGTTTACACTGACATTGAACACCACCACCGGAAAAATACAGGCGCAAAACCAAGATCTTTTGTGAGCACTAGCAGAAAAGTTATTCTTCTAAAGTTTCAACTTTCAAATCATTACCTCTGGAATAAAATTATAGTCAGGCCGTACATCCTTATATCATGCTTGCTAATATATTGACAAAGCAATTATATCTTACATTACTAAGCTGTGGGCCATAGAATAGCTCATACAGTATATTTAGAATAGCGCTGCAAATCTGTGTTCAATAAGCTGCAGAGGCAACAGAGGCCGATGGACAAGGGAGAATGGTGACTACCACAGAACACTGATAATTTATAGCAAAACTCCAGAAATATCAGGAGTGCAAAGATAGCTTTTATGTGTGTCTCTGAGTAGAAAACCGGCCTACATTATTCTAATGTATCAACTTTCAAATCATTAACGCGAACCCTTTCACTGTTAAAAAAAAGAACATTCAAATCATTACCTCTGGAAAAATCATAGTTAGGCCGTACATTCTTATATCATGCTTGCCAATGTATTATCAATGCAATCGTATCCTTCCCCTCACATTACTAAGATGTGGGGTACCGAATACCTCATACTAGTATCTATAGAATAGCACTGCAAGTCTGTGTTCAACAAGCCACAGAGACGATACAGAGGCAGATGGACAGGATGAATGGTGATTATTCAAGAACACTGGCCATTTATATATACTTGGGAGAAAAACAAAAGCATATGCTGTTACAGCAAAACCACAGAAATATCATGGGTGCAAAGATAGTTTTCAATCGTCTAGCTTTTGAGTAGAAGCCGGCCTACATTCTTCATTTGGGTCAATAGTGATTCCGCAGCAACATCAAAGAGTACCGTGTTAGGCTATCAGATTGAAGATCAACTCAGAAGTGTTCAGGTAAGGATGAACAAAGAGTAAGCAATTGGAATCACTTATTAGATGCATAAGAGGAAGCCGCCAGACAGGCATGAATAAGATCACAAACAGCTACGAAACAATCCCATACAAAGAGGATGACCCAGTTGACCAAGAAGAAAATATACCTTGCATCTTTTCTACTGCCAGGCTATTTGTATTCTAGGACAAAATGTGACAGTTAATCTCTTTTCTAAAGTTCAACTCACAGGTGATAAAAATAGATAATTGGCACCACGATGTATTGCTGGTCAAGACTGAAGGCCAAAGATAATGAAAGTGTATGTGCTTATCAATATTTTACATTTTCACCTACAAAGTCGACACACTGTATCTCAAGATTTATCTGAGATTTTTTTTGGGGATCAATTTGCAAGGATTTGGTGGCAAAAGGCACAAGTCATGAACATCATCATAACACTTGCATTACTTAAATGTAAATCATAGCATGTACCTGAAAATGATTTACACAAGTTGTGAGCAGCTGCATCACACTTGGGTCACTTAAATATAGCATGTACTTGGAAATGATTTAGCAGAATGAACTACAGGTGAGTGGAATCAGATGATAGCCCCTAGGAACATAGCCTGGATGGAAAGCCTATAATCCCTAGCAGTTCCTTGTCTTCTTGGACGCTTGATCCAGCTCCGCAATTTTCCCCTGTTGCTTGGGCAGGTAACCACCTGAAAAGAACAAACCAAGCCGGAATCAAACATAAACTCTCGTGATCGTGTTACACACAATCTCAATTCCTAGCTGGGAACAATAAACCATAATCAACCTCAAACTCGTGTGCTCATTCTGTATTTCAATGAGATTTACGGTGTCACTGTGTGTTGTTACCTGGCCTGGAGACGAGGTTGATGCGGGAGCGCGGGGCGGCGAACATCCAGCTGTTGTCGTCGAGAGACCTGACCTCCTTTTGTAGCGCCTCCATGACCTCCGACTTGAGCTCTGCGGGGGAACCAGACAGACCAATTCGACTGCTTAACTGAGAGGGGGAGGACATGAAGGGAGGGGAACTAGGGCTTGCGAGGTGCCGAGGGGGATGGATTTACCGGCCATGGCCTCGTCCTTGCGGTAGAGCGCGTCGATCGAGTCGGCGAGGTCGTCGGCAGCGGAGATCGCGATCCCGCCTCCCGCGCTCGCCGCCGAGACGGTCGACCTCGCCGGAGAGCTCATCGGAGATCGGCCTCGTTTGAAACGCGGCGCCCTTCCGTGTGTGTGGGTCACTGGTCAGACTCAACAGCGAATTATACGACCGCGCCAAGTGGGCCGTGTAAATGGGCCATATAAATGGGCCGGGCTGCTACTGCGCTCTGTAAGTGGGAAGCCATCCGTTCGTCTCTCTCCCCCATTCCCCAATCCCCACGACGAGATCCATCCACCCCAGAGGCCAAGAAGAGAGGAGAGAGAGAGAGAGGCCGGCGGCGGCGGCGGAGGAGCAGGCGATCGGAGATGGTGCGGAAGGCGAAGGTCGAGTTCGACGAGAGGCCGCCGGATGACTTCGACCCGAAGAACCCGTACGGGGACCCGGTGGCGATGCTGGAGTACAGGGAGCACCTGGTGCGGGAGAAGTGGATCCAGATTGAGACCGCCAAGATCATCCGCGACCGCCTCCGCTGGTGCTACCGGATCGAGGGCGTCAACCACCACCAGAAGTGCCGCCACCTCGTCGACCAGTACCTCGAGTCCACCCGCGGCGTCGGGTGGGGCAAGGACCACCGCCCGGCGGACCTCCACGGTACCGCCGCCCAAATCCTAACTCTGCCTTCAGGCCATGGTCTAGGTTTGTTTCACTGGCTGATATGGTTTGGTTGTTTGGTGTCGCGCAGAGCCCAAGAAGGTGGTCGAGGTCGAGGAGTAGCACGGTCGCTTCCGTCGCCGTTCCTGGAATGGAGAGGTCAGGGTGCTTCTTGTTATGCTCAGAATCTTAGTTATTATGCACATGATTTGTTTCAAATGTACGCACGATGCAGCCTATAGTGAAATGCACATGATTAATGTTTATCATTCCATTCACCCACTTCAGATTTCTGTTTGGGGTCACATCGCCGTGCTTAGATAGTTGGGAGCTTGGGAATGGTGTAGTAGTAGAACACCAAACATTAGCACTGGTGAACATTTTTGGTTTATAGGGGGTTTGAACTAGGACAAAAGGTTTTGTCGAGGAGTTGAGGAGGAAGGGGTTTGAACTGGAAGGGTGTTTGTCTTGGCACCTTAACTGTGTGTGCAAACTGTTCTTTCCAGCTTGTACTGAAATGGATTTTCCTCTTGTCGAACAACAAATACTGCTTGTCATGCGGACGAGGGGTATAAATCCTAAAACTTCCCAAAGAAATATCCCTCACTCAAATGCCCACCAAGTTTACTCATGACTTATCCCCGGACCAAACCTGGGTGAAAAGGAGATATATGGTAATGGGCTAGCATCATTTTCCCTATGTTGTTACCTCGCTGCTAAGACTCACTGTTGCCGCTGGCCTATTTCTTATTTTGCCTGAACCTAAGATGTTTGAATGAAGATCTACATGAAATCAACTTTATATAGTGTGTACATTTAGTGATATTTGAATGAAGGTCTACATGAAGTCAACTTTATATAGTGTGTACATTTAGTGATATCCAGACAACTAATATTTTTGGATGTTTTTGGTTCTTGCGGTCATATTTCCCTGGATCAAATCATGATTGATTCGTAATTTATTAGCCATCATCATACTTTATCTGGCCTAACGCTGAAAGGATATCATGTTTCACACATCCATGCTATAACCTTGTTCACCTCAATTGTTAGTAAAGCTGGATTGCTGAGATGTGCTCTGCTACTCAGGCCCAGGTAACGGGTACTGACTAACAAAGGCAGTCTGTTCTTTCAGAGTACGAGGAGTATCTTTGCTAAGCAAATTTGTCATTGCATCACCCCTTTTGGGAGTGAGCTAAAGCTACTCTTGATGTCTGAAATCACTTTTAAGTTACTTTTGAACAGTTGAAACAACTAGTCCATCAGTTCCGTAATTCTTGTGGTGGTTTTAGTTCAACTAAAACCATAACAAGAATTATGGAACGGAGGGAGTAGATAGTACCATGGACTAACACAGGCTATCTGCTCTTTCAGAGTCGAGTTATACAAGGAGTATCTTACTATCACTAAGCGATTTGTCATTGTGTCATCCCTTTAGGGCAATTGAGCTAACACTACACTTGATGTCTGAAATCACTTTAAATGTTACTTTTAAACAGTTGAAACAACTAGATAGCTAATTTCTTCATGTAATTGCTCACACATTCTTGAAGAACCACTGCATGAATTCATCTTTAACAGTTTCTTAAAGTCCATGTAAGACAGTACGAGGGTTTATCTGATTTTCTTACTGGGAACATCATCTTCCACTACTCAAGCCTCGTATCATATTCTCGTTTCAGGAAAAAATAAAGATCGTGGAGTCGCTTTTGATTGAATATATAATTTTCTTAATATCGGAGTGAAAGAAATTTAGTTGCACATATTATTTATTGCTACTTACTAGAGCATCTACTTGCCATGTCTCACCATTTTTTAAATTTTATTGAATGCTACTCCCTCTATCAAAATATAAGACGCTTTTTGATACTATGGTAGTGTCAAAAAATGTCTTATATTTTCATACAGAGCGAGTATCTACTATTTTGATTATTCTGCCTCATCTGTCTGTAATTAATCGTCCTTCTATTTTCTACCTTGCAAATGCATTTCAACTGTCTAAGAATTCTGGTGACTGTGATCTGTTGGAATAAAGTAGACCATAACACTGACTTCTATTTGACGCGCAGGTCATCTTTCCATTCGAAGTGAAGGAAGTAACTTGAACTGCCACAGCTCCTCTCTTACCTCTGAAGTTGCTGATAGGCATTTAATAAATGATGATGCGAAGCAAACATTGTTGTGTGGTGTCTGTATTTTTTTTTTGTTAACTTCAAGGAGTTAAGCAAATCGTTGCTTGGACTTACCTACCCTGTTTCCAATTTCATTTATACAAATGATGTTTAGTTGCCTTTGCCTTTGCATCTTGAGTTTACAAGTGTGTATGAAAGACGGCTCTTGCTGTGCTGTACAAGTTCTTTCTACTCTGTCACTGTGCTGCTTTTTTTGGTATTAAATGGGCTGCACATTGCCGTACTGAATGAAATGGGGAGGCAGCCGAGATTCAGGTCCCTTCGGAGAATGCAAACCAGAGGTTCATGTTACTAGAGCTTCCAAAACAGAATATATCATTTCTAATTATTCGGAGAATGCAAACCAGAGGGTCGTGTAACTAGACTTTCCAAAACAGAAAGATTATAAACAGAGTATAACATTTCTAGTTAACTGGTACTGATCCTGATGCTATAGAGCTACATACATTCTGCCTGACACAACAGGGGGGGTGCTCTAGAAAAACTAGGGGGGTGCTGGATATAATAACGTTTTCAGGTCAATATGCTCATAGGGTAATGCTGAAAAAGTTTGTCAGAACCGATACGTCAAAGCAAGCACGATTGCTCCAGTTGCAACTTCCGGATTTGTTTGCCCCAGTAGAAGTTGAATTTTCTGCAAACTGGGGCAGTGGTGCTTGCTTTGACGTTGCCATTCATCCAGTACTCATCAAACTGCATCATGTGTCATGTGTGCTCTAATTTTCAACCTCAAAATAAAACTTCACATTTTCAACAGCACATGAAGTTGTAAATATTCATCAACCACGGTCCCAAAAACTGAACAAATTTCTAGTAAAGGAAAATAGGTCATTATTCAAAACATGAAGTTAGAGCGGCCAGAAAATAAAACAAAATAAAGCAATGAATGGTTGCAATGCAAAATGCTTATGGCTATCTTGTTCACCTTTTCAACTGAAACTGATACAGATAACAGCCAAATTCTTCCCTGCTGTTTTCACACTCTAAAGAAAAGTAAGGCACTATCACAATATCGCTATAAGGAAAACATGCCATGATGCAGCCAATAATCTGGAGTTGCACAGAGTCCAGTAAAACATGCAAGTGCACTCAAGGTTAAACATTTCAAATTATGAAGGAATATGTGGAAAGGTTGCCCTCATGCAACTTACAAACGCTTCAAATTATGTTACTCCATAAAAAAGTGGAGTAGCAAGCAGGAATCCATGTTCACATTATAGGATAATCATATGTGCTTATGAGAGTTTCTCCAGTAAAACGAATTTCATAAACAGATAGTCAAGCATAGGGTAAATGACATCATTGCAGGTACATGTATATATTTAACTCTGGTCACAGATGTAAAATTCAGTTTTCGATGATAGAACCGGTGCCACAGACAGAACTGACTCAAGTTTGAATTTCAAATGCTAAAAGTTCAGAGAATAGCATCACCCCTTTCTTTCAAGGAGGCGATAAAACTTTCGGAGCTCCGGTATCATTGGAAACATATTCATCATCGCAGTACCACTAAGATTTTGGGTTGCCATTCATCCAGTACTCATCAAGAACAAAAGGTTTGCACATCCAGAACAAATATATCTTCTTCAGAACTTGGCTTCTGTTCCCCCACTTTTGTTCTAACTAAACTGGGTGAAGCAAATTACGAAGAACAGAAAGATACCTAAACAACCGGTATGACAGGAGCAAGGAGAGAGGATTTACATTGCAGGTCCTCCGCTTGCGGCTGGTTGAAACCCAAGTAAATCCAGAACCTGTTAATCCCCATCTCCCCATCCTAATTGGTTGCTCGTTATTCCCCTCGAGTCTTGTAACCATCCTGCCACCTCACATTTCCCCCAGTCATGAAAGAATTGCAGGTTTGCGAGCAAGCTATGCCGAGCAAATCCATCTCATTTCACAACAGCATGATTGCTCTGCTGCTCCTCCTCCTTGAGGGCCACGTCGTCCTTGTGAACCATATCCCAGAAGAAATCAGTAAGGACAATCTCGTAGCCGGGCATCTTCGCGTAACCGGGGAAGTAGTTGATGTCAATGACGAGATACCGGTTCCCGGCACGAACATCCCGGATCATGTCGAAGTTGAAGAGCTGCAGGCCCAGGGCACGGCGGAGCCCGCCTGCGATCTCGTTGACGAAATCAGTGGGCGGCATGACGGCGTCCTCGAGCCGCATGTCCTCGTAGTACTCCTCGGCCGTGCGCTGATTGGGGAGATTGGATACCTGCGAGAAGGAGATGGTGCCCTCGGCGGCGGCGTCCTCGAGGATCTCCTTGGAGACGTCCGGTAGGCTGCGGCGCTTGACGCAGGTGACGTGGCCGCCGACGACGTAAACCTTGAATATGACGCCGCCGTGGTTGACGAACTCCTGCAGGACGAGCGGCGGGCGGAGCTTGCGGAGCCCCTCTCGGTGGTAGACGAGGGACATCTTGTGCGACTTGGCGCTGCCGTCGGCGACGAGGGGCTTGGCGATGAGCGGGAAGCGGAGCGCGGCGAGGAGGCCCGAGTCGGCGAGCGCGGCGGCGTCGTAGACGACGACCTGGCTGGGGATGCCGAAGGTGTGGCGGTGGCCTTCGCCGTCAGCGGAGGCGGAGGCGGCGTCGGTGAGCGGGACGTCGAGCTCGGAGACGACCTGGAGCATGGAGATGCGGTTGTGGAGGCGGTCGATGGCGTGGGGCGGGTCGACGACGGGGACGGAGGGGTAGCGGGCGGAGAAGGCCTGGAGCTGGGCGCGCCAGTCGTGGCCGTAGAGCTTGTGGATGACGAGGTCGAAGGGGCCCTGGTCGGCGAGGGGCCGCGCGTCGTCGACGGGGACGAGGTCCACGCCGCGCGCCGCCGCGCGGGAGATGAGCGAGGGCTTGATGAAGCTGTTCTGCTTCTTGGGCGCGAGCGCGTAGCCCACGACGTAGCGGCGGCTGTCGGCGGAGGAGGGCTCGGCGGCGGCGGCGGCGGCGGCGGCCATTGCGGTCTGGGAGGGTTGGAGGAATCGGGGATTTGGATGGGGTGGATAAAGGAAGGGGAGGGGTGTGATGCCCTCTCTTTTATAAACAGATCGATTCGATCTGGAGTAATTCTCAGGTCGAAAGAACCCCCTTCGTCTCCTCTCCGCCCTGTCTCCGTGGACCGGGTCTACGCCCGTGGGCTGGCTGCATTTGTTAACAATCATCGTACGATGCTAAACCCTCATGGACCATCTCATCTTTGTTTTGGGTGTTGGTTAACCATTGCTGTTCTAGTTTTTCCTTTCCAGGACCTGTTAGTCCTTTTCACGTGAGTTTTTTTTTTCAAAACACAGTCTGAACGCAGACACTCATGCATACGTATATACACTCATCCCTATGAACGCGGCCTTGTAAGCACATTTGAGAGACTGAGCCGGCATATCATTTTGAGATTGGCGAAGTCATCACAGACATCTTCGTAGTCGACAGAAACGTATCCTCTCACTTAACGAGCATCGCCGAAAAGTCTGAAATAAATCCAGAAAAATGAAACTTCAATTCACACCGAGTCGTTGATAGCTACACAAGGGAGAATTGTTAACGTGGTAAGTTACTCATTTTATCTAGTTTTAGTAAGTATATTCTTTCTATGTCATGACCTTACTTGAACATGATATTCTTTCTAGGTAATTTCAGTATTTTTTTTAGGTGTCCAAATGATACCTTAATTTGGATACATGACTTTTGTCGCACTTTTCCAAATAGCATGAGCGGAAAAATAATCTCAGTATGGCTTTTCTGGACTTTTTTTGCAAAAAACATCAAAATCTATTTATAAAGTTCACAAAAAGTACAAAGCATCTTAAACATAATACAGATTACATCAAGGTCTCTGAACCACCAAATGACCGCTATCATCATCAGAACGAGCCACCGACGCGGCGATGTCGCCGCTCTCCTACAGAAGCCGACCTGACCTTGTCAATGACAATCGGGAAGTCTTGTGTGCGTGACCTTAAGGACTAGCGCCCTGGAGCTGCAGTCGTCGTCATTGAACCCTTAGATCGATCTGAAGTGCCTGACATCAGATCTCATCATCGCACATGCACTATGAGAAACCCAAATAACCTCATTGTTCTAAAAAACATAAGGCTTCTTTGGGCATTAATCGGCTCAAATTCAAATCACAGCACAAAAAAGTGTGAAACACATGACATCAACATGTTTTTCTTCTTTCAAAAGGGGGAAATACCCCGACCTGTCTATTTATTGATGTACACAGACACAACAATGGTAATAATTTTGCACAATTAAGAATGGAAAATTTGAATGATACAAGCAATTATTTTAACAAACACCCCTTCCAAGCTATATATAGGACGCATAGGGTTTCATTAAGAAAATGATTTAATAAAGAATTACACCAATTATATATGGTTTAGATGGTATAAATTTACCCCTAAAAAAGATGGTATAAAATTACAACGTTAAGGAAGTAGTTTTGGAAGCGAATACAATGAAACCAATGTCATCATAAAAATATACTCCTTTCGATACATATTAATTGTCGCTGATTTATACTGGACAAATGTTTCTATTAACGTAACACAATACAGTCTACATAAAAGAACTAAGAAAAAAAGTATCTATTCGACGCAGTCACCCCCTCCTCTCCCAAGAGAGTATAGATTCCTCTTGCCCCCATTGTCACCATCGCCGGTCCTGCCTCGCGTGCGATAGCCCTAGGGCCATGGAGGTGTGTGCCGGCGTCCTGGGAACGGGGGTCCCAGACTTGCCTGTCTGCGGCCCACGTCGTGGCTCCATCAGCGGCCCCGTACGGCCCATCTTCACCAGCAAACACACAAGACCCTCGCGAGGCGGACGACGCAAGACCTTCTCGGGGGCGGCCTCACCAGGCCGGCTCGTGAGGGCCGGAGAGATCAAGGCAAGGGGCACCTCGCGAGGTTCCTGTGACGCAAGCCATGACGACCGGGGCCAAGCGGGCGCCAGCGCGCGTAGTGTCCTTATTTCCTCTTTGGTGTTAAAGAGGCAAGCGCAGGCGAGGAGTCTCCAGGCATCAGGCAAAGGTTTCCATATCAGTGCAACGAGACCAAGACCATCAGGACGGCAGGACGGAGGTCACCGGGGAACCCAGGACAGTGTCACCACCAGAACCTTTGGCAGGCGAAGGCCACCTTTTGTCAGGATACCTTGTACTAGTTGTCCCCCTTCGAATTGGTTGTTGTGGGATCCCTTCCCGCTTAATATTTGGAAAGAGGACCAGGGCCTCTATAAATAGGGCTAGCCACCACTGTAGGAGGCAACTAGAGAGAGATCCATTCCACCCACATACGCACAAGCTCATCGAGCTCAAGAACACCTCTCCTCAGGAGGTTGTTCTTTTCTTGTACTTGTTCATCCTCAGCCAACAAGTCAATCCACCACACCACACTGAAGTAGGGTATTACACCACATCAGTGGCCCGAACCAGTATAAATCTTGTGTCCCTTTGTTCTGCGAGTTCGGCGCGCTAAGCCTTGAGATCGCGGTGAGGGAGAGTGCAAGGGGAAGGAGAGATCTTCGTGCGCACCCCAGTGTTCGAATCTCAAGGGTTTTGCTGGAACCCGAAATCCGACATTTGGCGCGTCAGGTAGGGGTGCGCCGAAACTCCGCCTCCACGCTTGCTTCGTCCAGCTCCATGGCAGACGCCATCCCTCTAGTTAGGCCGGCGGGCGCCTGTAGATGCGCCGCGGGCATCCGGGCCTTCACCCACACCTTGCGGCAGGTGCGATGGCTGCGCAAGTTCAAGCCAGAGGTGTCGCCCCGCTACGATGGCGCAGCAAATCCGGCGGCCTTCCTACATGCGTATGAGAAGGCCGTCCTCGAAGCCGGGGGCGACGACCAGGTCATGGCCAACTGGTTCCCCTGGCCCTGGTCGGCGTGCCATGCGCCTGGCTGCTCAGCTTGCCAGGATCTTCGGTGACCTCCTGGGAGGAGCTGCGCGGTTATTACACATTATGTCACAATACTTATGCCTATAAATACGTCCACTTTGCATCATGCTTTTACATCGATATTTATTGCATTATGGGCTATTATTGCACATTATGTCACAATACTTATGCCTATTCTCTCTTATTTTACAAGGTTTACATGAAGAGGGGGAATGCCGGCAGCTGGAATTCTGGGCTGGAAAAGGAGCAAATATAAGAGACCTATTCTGCACATCTCCAAAAGTCCTGAAACTCCACGGGAATTATTTTCAGAATATATAAAAAATATTGGGCGAAAGAAGTACCAGAGGGGGCCACCCACCCTCCACGAGGGTGGGGGCGCGCCCAGGAGGGTGGGGGCGCGCCCTACCCTCCTGGGCGCGCCCCCTGCCTCGTGGGCCGCCTGGTGGCCCTTCGATGCCCATCTTTGGCTATATGGAGTCTTTCATCGAGGAAAAAATCATAAGCAAGCTCATGGGACGAAACTCCGCCGCCACGAGGCGGAACCTTGGCGGAACCAATCTAGGGCTCCGGTGGAGCTGTTCTGCCGGGGAAACTTCCCTCTGGGAGGGGGAAATCGTCACCATCG